TGGCGGGGCGTGGGAGGGAGGGGACAGGGCTTGCGCGCTGGCGCTCCAGCGGATGGGGGGGCGCTTGCGCGCGGGCTCCCTGGAGTCGGGAGGGGGCGGAGCGGCTTCGGCGTCTGAACCCGCCCCGGGGGCTACCAGGGTGCGTGTCCAGGCTGACGCGGTCGCCTGGGGCCGAGTGAGCCGGACGTGCCCCCTGCGGTGCTGGCTGGTGCTTTTCATTTACTTGGGAACACTGTTTCCCCGCGGGAGAGTCAGGGAGCGCGCACACACGCGCGCACACACACGCACACACACATGCACACACGCTAGCGCGCTCGTCCTTCACTACCGCATCCCCAAACCGGCAGAGCCAAGCTACTGCGGTTTCTCAACCTCAGCATCGTGGGGCGAAGCAGAGCCATTGTGCATCAGGGAGAGCCCGGTGCCTGTGCTGCCGCCTCGGGTCCCTAACCCAGCAGACCGCTCACCCATCGGGTAAGCCAGTCTCCCCCTTGTAGTCTGTTCGGGGTTGGTGCTTGCGGACCCCAGGGAGAGGGAGCGAGGCTGCTAGTGCGCCAGTGGGGGCGAGACCCGGAGTTGAAATTTCAGGGGCGTGCAGCCCGGCAGCCTCTACCAGCGTCGTCTAGCGGGAGCAGTTACTGTTCCGGTTACCTATGCTACCAACCCTGGAGTTGCACCCTCCTTGTCCCTCTTGTCCCCCTTGTCCCCCTGCCCCATATGCACTGTGCTCCTTGGTTGCCAAGGAGATTTGCTTAAACATCAGCCTTGGGACATCTGTTGAAGGAACTGGTTTCTTAAGTGATGCTGTTATTTATTTTGATTTTTAAGATAAAACATACATTGAGGACCTTGTGGTAATTTGGCATTCGTTAATCTGCATTCAGGCGACGGTTTCATTCAACTTCAAGAAAAGCCGTAATTGCACTATGTGGTATGCTTTAAAAACGTTTCGTCAGATGAATTTTTCAACGGATTGTGTCTTGAATAGTAAATTACTCCCATTTTAGTGATCTTGTAAAGAAAGCTGATTCCAATTTCAATTCCTTCTTCCTCTTTATTTCCAGTTCTAATTTACAGTTCACTTATTATCTTAACATTAAAAGCAGAAGATGATTTGATTGTGGTTCCTCACACAAGGATGGGCTTCTGTTGTAAATTGACCATAACAGGAATACATATTTGTGAATTCCTAACATAATAAGATAGCATTTATGCCATACATCTTTGCTAACATTTGTATATACACTGCATCATTAAAGTGTGGTTTTCTGAACCTCTGCCCCTTTCTTAGAAAATTGTTTTCTTTCAGATCTCGTTGATTTTTTTGAGATATAGCTATATTTGTATGTAGATAGAGATAGATGTAAAATGTGTGCCAACGCTTAGTACTCCAGAGTCTAAGCTTTTAGAGCGCATATCAAAGTGTAGTTTTTTTTGTTTGTTTGTTTTTTTCCTGATGGTCTGGTCCTTTACCAGGACACTAATGAGGCCCACGGAGGAGGTCAGTGCTCCTATTTCACAGGAGCTCCTAATACCTGGGCTGTCAGTTTTGTTTTGAGGCCTCAGGTGCCTAGGGGGTGAACTTACAGTACAGCACTTGAAGGCATCAGCAATCCAATAATTACACTTTGCACTAATTTCATACCTTCGTCACAAACAGAAATGACCTAGAAAAGATCCACTGGTATTCAACAATTCATTTTGTTTTCCTTCGATATTTTTTATCTTTTCTGCCTTTGGTTAAGTAAAGCAAGAGCATATATAAAATTTATTTTACTTAGGTATTAAACCATGTCATACAGAGTGTAATACTATGAGGAACAAGGAAGCCAAATTATAACAGGTAAAAGGGATTTATGCAACTCACAGAGCTCTGGGAGATGAATAAGGATGACAAACATTTTATATTATAGTTTACAAAAGACTTTTTGCACATTTTTTAAATTCTCATAACAAGCTTGTGAGGATTTAAATTGCCTTAAATTTAAAGCTAAGAGACCCAAGACTCAAACCTTGCTGAAGGTCCCAGAGCTAGTGCATGGGGAAGCCTTTTCTGGATCCAGGCTCTTTGCCTTTAAAAAAATGTTGCGTCTGCTTGTGTGTAGGGGTCTGACAGGTAAGATAATAGAGTGGAGCAGGCCTGGTGGGAGACACATGGGAAAGAGGAAATGTGGACTGTGGCTCCTGGAACTTGCAAACCACTATAAAGACGGCAACTCCTACTCTACTGTAGCTGATTGTTGCTGCCCAGGCTCTAAATCGTGCCAGTTTTTCAAGGAAAACAGAAGCTTCTAAGTTTTTTATGTGAAGTGTCCTTAATTATAAAAACTGTGAAGACCTCATTAAAAATGTATCTGGGTCATATGTGGCCTGTGGCCTTCTAGTTTGTAATTCATAACTACTGAGGTCTCAATCAATTCTAAGGTATTATTTTCTGATAAAATACTGATGTGAACAAATAAATCCATCATTATAAGAATGATCAGAAGTTTTCTGATTTTGATATTAATGTCTCAAAATATATAATAAAAAATGCTCTACATCGATTCTTTAATATACAGATCAGAGTTTGTTTTTGAGGTTTCCTAGGTCTCTCTCTTACACTCAGAAGAAATAAAAGCATGAAGTGCTTCAAAATAGGTAATTTTGAATCCAGTGGAATGAAAGCATTTATAGCTTAAGACTTATGTTCCTGGCTTAATTTTTTTCTTGGCATAGGGCTAAGAAATATTGAAAAAAATCAGTTGAGTACTTGTCATTACAGGAAGAGGTAGAATAAAAAGTTGGTCAGTAAAAGTAGCATCTTGAGCCTTTCAGTGAAAACTTCCTATCCTATTGAGGTATTAGGTAATTAGTTAAAACCTACTACCAAAAACTGTGAGATGTCAAAGGAACAAAAACATAAATGGGAATTTAAAGGGACATTAAATCCCAGCACCCTAGCATAGAAAATGCTGTAAATAATGGCATCTTGTAATGAAGCAAGTACCTTCGAGAAGCTGCCACTTTCTAGTGTTTCTTCTAAAGCTATAGAGGTGTCAGTGGACTTCACTGAAATGGGTGGTCAGAAAGGAGTGTTATTGAATTTACTTTTTTTTTTTCTTTTGTGGATCCAGAGGAGGTGTAGTTTAAGGGGGAAAAAGCCGAAAGATTTGAAGTGGCTTCTAATGGTTCTCTTATTCTAAAATCACCCTCTCGAAGGATGCTTTAATAGTAAATAAAGGAATTTTTAGTTTGTTTTCATTTCATGGAAATAGGTTATACCCTTAGTAAAGAGTTATGCAGGTGTTAGTTAATATTGTTACAACAAAATCTTGCTGAGTGCTGTGGAGATACCATCTTCGCCGTCAAGGATTCTGAGCAAATATAGTGCTCCTAGCACTGTCCACTTTTTGAGCCCCTTCTAGGTGCAATCTACTTTCCATATTGTCTTCACACCAGCCCTATACAGTGGGTGTCTTTTTTGTCTTTTTTCCGTGTCCGGCAACGGATCGCAACCCTCAGTGTCGCCCCTGTACCGGACCGGGGACCGGCGACGGGATCGCAAGCCTCGGCGTTGCTCCCGCGCCTCGCTCAGCCAGTGAGCGGGAACCGGTCTGTACATGGGATCCGAACCCTCGGACGGGAGCGCCTCTGCGCTTCCCAAGCGGCACACTATCCAGTGCGCCACCAGGCCGGCGCCCATCTTTCTTATTAAACAGGGCTTTTTGGTGGCAGTGGACATAGATTTGGAGTCTGTCTTGGTGTCAAGCAATGCCTTACCCCCCTTCTCTCTTTATACAACTGGTTCTCATTATTTCAGAATTTATTCCAATTTGCAAAGTGGACTCTCAGAGTATATCCCAGAACATCTTACTGTCCATCTTACTGAGAATTAGTACATGGAATTCATTTTGTTCACCTTTTTCCTAATCCTGGCACAGACCCTTCTTGCCAGGATCTTTACCTAAGAGGTGCTGAGCAGGAGGAAGTATCCAACTTTCTTTTGTTCTTGCCCTTTTTCGTATGCACATTGCAATGCATTAATGCATTTAATTTAACTTGATTTAGACATATGGCACCATAAATTTTGGTGAGATTTTTAAAAGAACTGTGTATTAAAAAAAACAGTTTTGTAGACTTGACTTGGAGTCGGATTAATTTCACATATGGCAAAAAGCATTGAAAGCTGTATATTTGTCTAAAATAGCTTTTTCCCTTGCAAGGTTGAAATCACCGAACTGATAAGATGATTTTTAAATAAAGAAAGAAAGTCTTTGGCAGTTTTTATGGACTCTTGACAACAGTCTTATACATGTTTATTTGAGGCATAATATATTCAACTTTTTATGCCAGATGAACCAGTTCCAGTGACTTAGAATCAGGGCTACCCCCCTTCCCCAGCCTGCCAGTACAACCGGTTTGGCATACAGGATATTGATAGAATGAATATTCCCACCCTGGCTGATTGCTTCAGTGGGAACACATTTGATGCTAATAGCACAGACAATAAGAGAACTGGAGGAGGTATTTTGCAATTCTTTATGACACAAGTTCAGGTACTTCATTTTAAATCATTACTTAGAAGCCTTATTATTTATGATTTTTAGTTCTACAATTGAAAATGCAAGGTAGCATAGCACAACCAGATGAACATGAGACTTGGAGCCTGGATTTGACTACTAAATCTGATATTCCGTGGCTCTGTGATTGTCCAGTTACATATCCTCCCTAGGTCTCATTTTCCCCATCTGTAAAATGGGAATTCTATTACCTATACTATAGGGCTATTCTAACATTAAATGAGCTGTGCATAAAAACAACTAGCACAATGCCTGATGCATAATAAAAACTCAGTTGTTTATTAATTCCTTCCCTTAGCCTCTCCTTTCCCCTCTACCTTTGCCTTCCTCAGAATGACGGCAGAATACATTTAAATTTCATGCACCATATAAGATGTGTTAGGCTGGTGTGCCAAACCTTCGAGAGCATCTATCCCCTTTGTGTTATGGAGCTTTGAGTGAAGCAACACACTGATGGGGTGGACTCTCCCGGGGAGAGGGATGCATGTCTTGGGGTTAATTGTGTCTTTCCTCACTGGCAAGCCACTTCTCTCTCTTTTCTGCAGCTCCTGGAGCTCCAGGCTGGCCACTGGGAAATGGAGGGAGAGTCACTTTCCTCCTTCCTAGGCAGCTGTCTGGGCTTTATTATGGGACCTCTGAAGAGAACAGATGGGGACCTCTGAAGGTGTGTCCCTGGAATTAATAGCAGTATCAAGTACTAGTGGGGACAGACTTTCTAACCTCCCTATAAGGTCAATTTCTAGCTGCCTACATTTTTCTAGACAACTAGGAGTCTCCCTTCATGCCGGATTATGTAAATTTTATGAAAAGGTCAAAAGCTCACCAGGCTCAATGAAAAAAAATTCCTTAAATTCTCTTTCAAGTCAGATAGCATTAAAACCTTCCCAGAAAGAATACTTTCTAGATAAAGCT